TAATATCAGTGAGTACCTCTGGGTGGTAGGGATTTGGAGTGGGGTATTTTTCCCAGTCCTTCAGTAAGGATCTGTTATTTATGTAAATCAGGAAAAAGTGATATAAAAAAGACTCATGCCCAGCCGGCCTGGTTTAGTGGTTGAACATCGACCTATGGACCAAGAAATCACAGATTGATTTCCAGTCAGGGCATATGCCCAGGTTGCAGGCTCGATTCCTAATCTGGGGTGTGCAAGAGGCAGCTGATCAATGATTCTCTCTCATCATTGATGTTTCTCTCTCTCCTTCCCCTCTCCCTTCCTATCTGAAATTAATAAAAATATGTATTTTTTAAAAAGAATGAGTAACAATGAACGTTACAATTGTGACCATTAACTTAGACAAATCATGTTTGTAATTTTAGCTACTGAAACTGAAGGAGATGTGCCAGAGCTTTATCATCAAAGAAAAGGGGAAATAGCAAGATGCTGGATCAAATACTGTTTGACACTCATGCAGAATGCTCAACATTCAATGCAGGTAATGCAGTCAGAAGTCGCCTTTTCTTAAATGAGCAGGACATAAGTAAAAGCTTAAAATGGGGATTATGCTTCTTGGGCTCATTGCATGTTCATTATGCAAGACATGCAGAATGCTCTCATAAGTATCTCTTACTCTATCTTTTAAAATCTTACCGTTCAAGGCCTATCTCAAATACCACTTCTTCCTTGAAGACTTTCCTTTGGATAGAATATAATTCCCTGAGAAGTGGGATCTACATCATATTTATATTATATCACCATCTTCAGGTACACTAGGTTCTCAATAAATAATGATTAAATGCATAATTCTTCTCCCCCTTCATATATCATCTCCTTCCTGTAAACTCCATAGAACTTTTCTTACCCCTTCCTAAGTCATTTAAATTCTGCTTTGTATTATCCCTATTCATGTTCCTTTACCTCTTTAGACTATAAGCACCTTGAGGGCAGGAAACAATTCTTACTAATCTTATATATTTTAAGCAA